ATGTGGATAAGTGCAAGGTCTTGCACTTATCCACATTGAACGCCATCCTGTTGTCTCCTGCCCACTTCCATAGTCTGTCCAGATCCTTTTGGATCTGGAGTACCTGCTCCTCAGTTGTGGCCACTGCCCCAGTTTTAATGTCGTCTGCGAATTTGATCAGCAGACTGTTCACCCCTTCTTCCATGTCGTTAATGAAAATATTAAACAGGATCGGCCCCAGGACAGAGCCCTGGGGGACCCCGCTTGTCACTGGCTGCCATCCCGATGATTCCCCGTTAAAGGTTACCTTCTGCTTTTGGTCAGTCAACCATGCCCTAATCCACCGGACAGTGCTTTGGTCTGTCCCAAAACCCCTCAGTTTCTCCACCAGGATATCATGGGGCACTTTGTCAAAGGCCTTGCTGAAATCCAGGTATACCACATCCACTGCATCCCCTCCATCTAGCCATCGCGAAACCTTGTCCTAGAATTCCACAAGGTTTGTCTGGCAGGACCTGTTCTTGCGGAAGCCGTGTTGTGTGGCCGCCAGCCTCCCTTCCCTATCTAGCACATCTAAATAAAGCGAGATTTGCTGATGGTTTGCAGGCAATGCCTGCAAAAAAGTCCAAACCAGCAATCTGCTTCATTGCCATCACTCATGGAAGCAGAATTAATTGTGCAAGAGGGAAAATTACACGCGCACACCCAAAATGAGAGCCCGCATGCAGCTATGTAACTTGCACAGGTCAGAGAACCGGGACTGCTTATGATGCAGATTCATTCATGTGCAGAGCAGGGTCTATTTGCGAGCCTCGTTCGTTGCTAAGCGTTCGGTGCTTCGCTCTGTGAGCCAATGACCCCATTTCCAGAGGCACGCGAGGCAGCTGGTGCCTGTTATCATGGCAAGAGCAGGTAAAAGCCTCCTCCGTTCACTTATCGAATGTCAGCTGCCTTCTGGAAACAGATTAGATCGCTATTCTGCTCTGCATAGCACGTTCATCATCACCCCCCCCCCATTCCTGATTTATACCGCACTGCACACATATAGAGCAGCAACAAAATAGCTCCCTGCCCCAAGGATCATGCAGTCTATTACAGCATAGAGAAAACACCAGAGGGAGAGGGAAGGAAAGACGAGATGAGACACACGTCTCTGCTCAACTGTATGTCTGTAAGAGTTAGTTTTTGGAGGGGAAGAGGACTGGGGAGTTGTGGCCCCAAGAACTCTGAGAAAGGGTGAGCCACCAGGAAGATAATCTAGAAGAACGCTCAGCAAAGCAAGAGCAGAGTCGCTGAAGGACTAGCAAGCCGTCCCTATTGCACACACTTCAGTGCAGAAATTTGGCCACGTGTGGAAACGGAAGGATAATTGCATTCCGATTCAGGTGTTATTAAGAACTGCAAATCAAGTCAGTTTGCATTAAAATTTGAACCAAACAAATTTTCCCCTGGCTCTGGCGCTAGGAAAGTTTGTACCACAATGAAGCTGCTCACCTCTGGAGGCTACTGAGAGACTCCGGATGGTTAGAGCCAGAATGGTGCTCCTTTGCAATTCCCTCCTAGCTTCCAGGACTGCTGGGGCCTGCCTGCAAGCTTATTTTTCTCTTTCAGGAGGGTCTCTTAAAAACATTTGGGAGGGGAAGGAGATCCCCTGTGAGAGTATGACAGGGAGTCTCTCTGGTTTGCTGCCAAAGCACCTGTCTAAGTTGAAGCCAAGTTCTTTTTTCCAGCTATCATTTATGAGAGGAGAGGCCCAGGGCGTGTAACCGGAATTCAGAGCATCTGAACTTGTGCACAAACAGCTGCATTGCTGGAGAACTCAACAGCACCTGACAGATACGGCAGGCCTACTGAGCAGCCTCAGATGTCTTATTTCCCACAAGAAAGATGCTTATGCAATCTCCCAATGTGACTTTTTAAAAATACAGTGGTACCTCGGCTCACGAACTTAATCCGTTCCAGGACTCTGGTCGTGACCCAAAATGGTCGTGAGCCAATTTAATTTCCCCATAAGGTTCAATGCAAATAAGGGTAATCCGTTCTGTAACTATTTTTTTTATTCAGAAAAGTGTGAAGCAAAGTGACAAAGAACAACAAGATCACGGCCATCCCCCCCCCCCGAGCAGGAGCACGGCCATCTCCCCACTCAGGGGGGGTGGGGAGACGGCCACAATCACAGTCACCACCCAATGTGAATTTCGCGAC